CGGCACACCGGCCATGGTCCCGCAAGCAGTTCCGAATGCCCTTGGTGGTGCTGTCGGTTGTCAGCACAGACTTGTCTTTGAAGATCTCGCCAGCAGGCGGCGCATCACACAGCCAGTCATCTGTCGCTTTGATCAAGGCCGTCTTTCTCGTGGATGACGGAGATCCCACGATCACAGGGCTCCCAGGCGTGATGAAGTGCTGTGCCCGGGACATATGGCCACCAGCTTCAAGGAAGCCGACGTTGCTTTCAATGCAAGCCAGCAGGGCTTCAGTGGACAGGCCTTTGGCCCTTGCCAAGGTGTGGACTGCCTCGGCAATGGGGCTCGCGGCGCATAGCCGGATGTCAAAGTCAGCCTCAGCGGCCAGCTGCCGGTGTGTCCTCGTGTCTTGCCAAGCGCTGGCCAAGTTTGCCTTGATGGTTTCATAGGTCTCATCTTTGTTGCGCATGGCTTCGAACAAGCGTTCGTGGAAAAGCAAGTCCTCGAACTGCTCCTCAGTGACGGCTTTGCGGAGCTGGAGCAGAATCTCTTGCGTGGGGTCTGGCATGGTGCAGCCTGCGGCGCGCTCCTCTTCATGGGCATCTTCAAAGCACAAGCCTCTACGACAGGGATCAGGCAAAGCTTGCGACAAGTCGGGCGGGGTGGGGCTGGCGAGCGTCGATGGAGGGGTCAGCTGCGCGGCAGGGGGCGAAGCTGCCGCTTGAGAAGGCACGCAGTCTGCAGTGGCCAGCTTTACTCCTTTGAGATGCAGGACAATAAGTAAGCTGTGGAAATAGCAGTCGCCAGCAGCCCGCACCCAGTCCACAAGCACTCCTCGACTCCGTCTGCCTTCCACCGCCAGAATCATATCGCGCCATTTTCCCGGCAAGGACGGCTTTTGCCAGCCCTGCGCCTCTTGCAAGCTGACAAACGGCATCCAATGGCTCCCTCCTGTGGCCCCTTCGTGCTGGGTGTTGTCAACGCCGCCGCTCACAAGCACGCAATCTTCTTCAGGGTCTGGCACTTGAAATTCTGGGTCCCTGAAGAAGGCCGCAGGCACAGCCAAGATGTTAGCAGGCAATTCCGCAGATGAGTGGTGCAAGCGCTTTAACAATTCGGGGCGTAGCAAGGCCCAATCATCATTCCCGCCCCATACAGGCGCCTTGGTCTGCAGCTCTGTCAGCCGACAGGCCGGGTCAGCACGAGCAACGGCCAGGCAAGCCCGCAGAATTTGGATTCCCTCTTCATGGCTACTCAGGCCACACAATGGCCAGCTTTGCCTGTCACCACTGTCAGCTGCCGGGGCGCCGTCTGTGGGCAGCGGCGTAGACAAAACTTCTTCCGCAACTGCGCCTGCTTTCATTTTCACCGGAGTCCCCTTGGGAGCTCCATCTTTGCTATTGGAAAGGTCCATATGATCACCAGCTGCGCATAGCTGCTCTTGGAGCTGGCTGTCAGGCCAGTCATCGGAAGCGAGGGAAGCCTTGGCTGGGGTGTCACCCAGCTCCGGGTTGACAGGGGAGCGCCCGCGGCGCGGTGAGCATGCTTGGGTGTCTGCCCTGGCCGCCGCAGTGGCTGGCTCGGAGTCCTCGCCGGCAGTCTCCGCTGCGTCTGCCGGCGTCATTGTTAAAGCCAAGCGCAATTCAGAAGCCCTATCCTAGACTTGACACTCCTAGCTGCGGCGGCTGCGCGAAGTCAGATCTTTTAAAGACCGACACCGCCGGACCTCAGTGAGTGTGCCCACAAGCGCAGTAGCACGCCGAGTGAACAGGGACGCACGAACTGCAGTGCATGTATGGCGGCTGAGAGGCATCCTCGCCACATCACTTGACAGTCATGCAGATAAAGACAAACACAAACACACAAACGCACAGAAACAGACGCTGCCAGGCACACAGCCGCACACACACACGCACACACACACACAGACACAATTACGCACGACCGCTGCCTCGTCCTTCTCCATGGCCGTCATCCAGCAGCTGGCCAGGTCCCTGGCAGCCAAGAAAAACTCGCCACGCCCTAGCAGTTGCCCGCATGCTGCACACTATGCGCCCGAGCCTGGCCAAGGAAGCTGGCACCTGAAGAAACAGCCCAAAAACATGCGGCCAATGCTAGGACAAGGTCACCTCGCACAGCATGTCTGCTCTCTCCGCTCTTTTTCATGTTACGTCTCACATCTGCACCTAGCATCGGCGCAGAGAACGTGTCACGCAGGTGACAAAGCTGCCTAACGTCTCCTGGCACTGCCAAACTTGTTCTTCACGCTCTTGTGGGGCCCGTGCCCTGACGCCAATGCGTCACCTTTCTGTACTGTGAACCTGTAGCTCCCGAGAGCTGCACTATCCACTTGTGCAGGGCAACGGTGAAGTCGTCCAAGGAGATATCAACCTTGGCCGCAGCCGCCCTGGCAGCCATGCCATCTGGTAAGTACGTCTGAAGAAATTGCACAGAGCGGAAGACCTTGTGGGCATCCCTCAGAACATCCGAATGGAAAAACATCAGCTTCGACTTGAAGACAGGAAGAAGCCAAGTCTCCGACATGAAGTCCTCAATTGCCTGCTTGGCTGCCTTGTACATGATGAGGGCCCTGCCATCCAAGCAAATGGTCACTGGCGGCGCTGAAGCGCAGTGCTGGTGCATCCAGCTGTGCCAGCCTCGAAGGAGCTCCTCGCTGGCCTCAAAGAGCTGCTGCTCCTGCGGATGTATCTCTGCCAATCCCCAGACCTGTTTCAAGCGCTTCTGGAAGCCGTGAGCCTTGGGCTGGACAATTTCTTCCGCTACTTCAATCTGTTCTGCCACCTTGAGCATGAAGTTGTAGTCCGACTGAGAAAAGCTACCATCCCCTGTGGTTGGGCCGTCGTACTCCCCCTGTGTCCACGTGTTGAGCTTTGTCACGGAAATGAAGTGCAGCCCGGCCTCTCGGTATGACATCCTGGTCTCAAAGGTATTGGCCGCTTCGTCGGAGCTCACGGCACACCGGCCATGGTCCCGCAAGCAGCTCCGAATGCCCTTGGTGGTGCTGTCGGTTGTCAGCGCAGACTTGTCTTTGAAGATCTCGCCAGCAGGCGGCGCATCACACAGCCAGTCATCTGTCGCTTTGATCAAGGCCGTCTTTCTCGCGGATGACGGAGATCCCACGATCACAGGGCTCCCAGGCGTGATGAAGTGCTGTGCCCGGGACATATGGCAAAGCAAGGTGCCACCAGCTTCAAGGAAGCCGACGTTGCTTTCAATGCAAGCCAGCAGGGCTTCAGTGGACAGGCCTTTGGCCCTTGCCAAGGTGTGGACTGCTTCGGCAATGGAGCTCGCCGCGCATAGCCGGATGTCAAAGTCAGCCTCAGCGGCCAGCTGCCGATGTGTCCTCGTGTCTTGCCAAGCGCTGGCCAAGTTTGCCTTGATGGTTTCATAGGTCTCATCTTTGTTGCGCATGCCCTCGAACAAGCGGTCGTGGAAAAGCAGGTCCTCGAACTGCTCCTCTGTGACAGCTTGGCGGAGCTGCAGCAGAATCTCTTGCGTGGGGTCTGGCATGGCACAGCCTGCCCCACGCATCTTCATGGCTGCAGAGGCGCGTACCTGTGTTGGCGATGGAGTGGGAAAAAATTCTTCTTCAGCTGCATCTGCTTTCTTGTTCACAGGAGTCCCCTTGGGAGCTCCATCTTCGCTATTGGAGAGGTTAACATGATCACCGGCTGCGCATGTTTGCTCTTGGAGCTGGCTGTCAAGCAAGTCATCGCAAGCAAAGGAAGCCATGGCGGGGGCTGCGTTCTCATGGGAGCGCCCGCGGCACTGTGAGCAGGCTTGGGTGCCCGCCACAGCCGCCACGGTGGCTGGCTTGGGGTCCGAACCAGCAGTCTCCGCGGCGCCTGCCCGCGCCATGGGGGCAGGGCGCGGTTCAGTGGCCCTATCCTTTAGGCTTGACACCCCTGGCTGCGGCAACTGCGCATAATCTGAGCGCATGCGCCTGCGAGCACGAGCTCAGGCCGAACTAACAGCAACACACGCAATCAAGTCAGGGAATACGGCTGAGAAAGCATCCTGGCCACACTATATGACAGCCCATGCGCACACACAGACACCCGCAGACACACACACACACATATACCAAGCAAGCATGCACGCGCCCACCCACACACAGACACATGCATCCACAGACACACACACACACATCCAGCCTCAGTAGCCCAGACCTCCTTGCGAACAGTCAGGACGCACGAGCTCCTGAAAGAATGCCAGTCCCAAGACAGTGCGATGGAACGAAGGTTGCCACAAGCAAGCAAAACGTCAGCCACGAAGCAAAATGTAACAACGGAGTTCCAAGACAGCTAGACACTAGGCTCTGCACTGATGCGCACCTCTGCCGCCTAGCTACAGCTAGCTGATTTTGAAAGCAGACGCCGCACTGGCAGTGGGCAACATGTGCTCGTAATTTGCACGGGCAACATCTCGCACTTTGGTCTTCCGGCATGGGTACAAGTGAAACTTATACATGCTCAAACACAAAGACACGGTGGCGGATACTTCTCTGCCAGCGTGGCTGAGGCTTTGCCATCCAGCATGGAATCTACTTTGTCTGAAACTCAAATTTGAAGCATGCTGTGGGGCATCTTGGAAGAAGTCGACCAGCTTCTGTCGGCAAGCCGCGCCTCCGAGACTTGGTAGTCCCTGCGTCTGCTTTGGCATCTGCGAGCCGAGGATCTCCCCGAGCTTGCTCCAAGTCAAGTCATGACCTCGCAAGTCATACACCCTGGAGATGTCTACACTATCAAAGCTCAAGCTGCCCTTCAAGTACTCCTCGAACTCCGCATGCAAAGAGCTGTCCATCAAGCTCAAGCAGTTTTCTCCGTCTGAGACCGGGCGCGCTGTCTTGGCCTTGCCGCTCATGACAGCCAAGCCATGCACTTGACCGAAGTGTTGTCCTGACGGGCCGAAAACGAGGATCTTTCCGGCCGCAGCGCACTTGAACTGATTGTGTGATTTTTTCTTGTACCTCTGCACTTCCACCCACTTCTGGCCAGAAGCTAAAGCATTGCTCCATTGTGGCAGCAGCAGCTTGCGGAAGACTTCCACTTCTTGTCTTCGCGCAGGCGCAGATTGTTCTGCGCCGCGTTGCTGCCCAGCCGCCAAAGCGCGCCCGCTGACCAAAGCATCCGGAAAGCACCGTCCTCGTCGGTCACAGAGAGGCCCACTGCGAAGCGAACCGTCCTCGTGGTGGCCAGCTTCCTGCTCAGTGGTTCGGAATGGGCTGCTCAAGTCCTCTAGGATCTGTGGGAGACGCTCGTCATCCTGCAGCGACACTGGCCAGACCGAAACAAAACAAAATTATTCATGAGGTAAGCGCAACCACAGCTCCCACCTGCCTGCGAAAAGCTCAAGGCAAGAGACAGCAAGCCGTCCAAGGACTGCTTGAGCACAGCGTCATGCTTGCACCATGGTGGAAGCGAAGCGCCATTGTAGTGGTTGTAATTCACCCGCAGGTAGGCCAAGTTCGATAGAAGCTGAAACCAGGCCAAAGACATTCCTCTGCCTTGCGGCGGGAAAATGGCTTGCACCTGGGCCCACAAGCGCTCCACGCCTGGAGTGAGGACAAACGGCTTGAGCAAGCTGCCGTCAGTGCCACACCAAGCCATCAAACAAGTGAAGGGATACGTTCGCTTTCTGTTCTTAGCATCGTACTGGTACACCCTTGCCGCGAGGTCATAGTGGCCATCTCCTCGGATGATGGAACAATTAAACAGCATTTGCTGCTTTGTCATCATGTCCACCTGCTTTTCCACGAAGGCTGCAAAGGCCTTGAGCGCAATGACTTTGATCTCTTCAGTGGAAGGCAAAGATAAGGCCATAGCCCCCAAGCTCTGGGGCCGCAACAACTTAGACCGGTGAGCAGCTGGCTCATGGCACTCGCAGACATGATGGACATAAGTCGTCGTCGCACCCCTCTCAGATTGAACAAATCATAGATTGCCAGAAGGAGGTTGAGCAAGTACGCTTGGGACATGTACCTCACTCTCTTCAAGTGCGGCGGGTTCTTGTGGACCACCACATGGGGTGCTGCTCTTTGCACATCAGCAGCACATGGGCAAAAGGTTCGGGACACCCCTGTCTGCAGGCAAGTCTCACATCGCCGCTGAGACATGTCCAGCAGCCTTGGGTAAGGAATATCCAGCACGAACTCGGGCTCCTTAGTTCTTCCTATGGGCACAAGCTTGTGGTCGGGATTGCTCTTGAGATGCTGCTCGGCTGCCATGGAAAGCACAACTAGGGCGCCAACCCCGACACTTCCGGGCGCCAGCGCCTGCTCGTCGCTCGGGCGGTAGACACCGGCGCTGGCACACGCAGCGCTGTGCAAGCCCTCCCAGACTTCAAGCACATCTGCTGTCACGACCAAGCTTGGGCTTGTGAGAGACGTACGAGCCAAGTAGGTAGTGTCTCTGACAAAACCCACCACTTGCCACCCCAAACCCAAGTCCTGCAAATCGTCTGCCCGACAAGTTTGGGCTTTGCGCCTGTCTAGAAAGGAGTCAGCTCCCCCGGGCGGCTTCTTGTTACTGGTTGGAACAATAGGCGCCACATGCGCAAATTGGCGGCCCCGCCGCAAGAAGCTGTCCAGAATCAGCACAGCTTGCCCTTTCAGTGTGGCTGTCAGGCCTGCTGCCGGCTGGATGTTGGACGCCCCAGAATCCAGGCCGCGCAGAGTGCTGAGCAAGCTCATGCGCTGCAAGTTTTGCAATCTGCACAGAGTGCGCCCAGCTAGCATCCTGCGAGCCAGGGCGGCAGTTTTTCGGTAGAGCTTGTCCGTGGTCCCCTTGGGAGCCACACCTGTTGTCAAGTGGTCGTCACTCTGCTTTGACGGGGATGCAGGCTTTTTCCTTGTAGACCTGCGGCACTTTCTGAAAGCCCGTCTGCAATCCACACGGATCTCTGCTCGCTGACAGGTAGTGTGTTTGCGGAACTTCCTGCCCTTGAACCTTGCCACCTTCCTGGAAGCCATGGCAAGAATCCGTGCCCGCGTCCGGGTCAAGAAACATGAGTCGTGTAGCCTTGGCCAAAACCAGTGGGCACATGCGCAATCTGCTAGACTGCCGTGAAAAAATACAGAATGGAACAAAAAAAGGAGAACTTGCTGCGCAGGCACAGCACCTGTGTCTAAACAGTTAAGCGCGCGGCACACTGCTTGGTGGGCATGACAATAGCCTGCGCGCGGCGCAATCCACGCCTACCAAGATCCACGGGAAAGGGGCCTGGCCTGTGGGCGAGTGCCATCGTTGCATGGCCCCGCAACCTGGGCAGGGAAACAAGCCCGAAGCAAGAAGCCACTTTAGAGACGTGAGCCGCTTGCTCTGGCGTTTTCAAACATTGTCGAAGAAGCCTGGCAGCCAGGGCAGCCCCAAGCAAACTACAACACTTGAACAAACAAGTTGCTGGCTTCAAGCTCGTGACAACTGAAGCAATGATTGCTCTCCTGCACAGACACACAGACACACGGCGCAGCGCGCAAGCGATATTTTGCTCTTGATGTCCTATCTGCTCTGCAAAGGAAGGGCTGGGCGCGTCCTAGCTTCGCGCTCAGTCAAGCCCGCCAGCGTTTTCTGGATCCGTGAGACACCGCCCGCCGCCGCTTGGCGCAAACATTCTTTCGAAGCCGCCACCGAACAGAATACTTGCCCACTCCCTTCCATCCAGTTGGATACTTTTGCGCCTCCAAAATTCTCCACGACACACACGGTCTTGCAAGCCATGGCCCGCAGGTCCGCACTAGTCAGAGCAGCCATTTCCTCTTGCTGCCCAGGAGTTAAGCCAGGAGCAGACCGCACGTATGCATGAAACAAAGCGAAGGCCTCGCGCTCCTTCATTTTGGCAGCAGCAAAGAATTTACGCGTGTTGGTGCCAAGCTTCTTGTGCTTCAGATCAGGGTCCCCCCCTTGCGTCCACAGGTTCCACTCCAGAAACCATCCGTGAAGATGAGGAAGCACGAGGCTCTTGCCCCTCCAGAAAGCGGTGGCGCCCAACAAACGTAGCAGGGAGTCTTCATCAAAAATGGCCGGCACGTCAATGTTGTCAAACAAATACGTGGCCGAAGCCCCCAAAACGCTGGCCAACGTGTAGCCTTGCAAGTCAGTGTTGAACACTTGCTTGGCTCTGCAACGGCGCCAAAGCACCCGGTCCGGCAGGAAGCGCGTGGCCGGCCAAGGGTTGTTCATCTGCTTGTAGGAGCTGACAAGGTAAAGTACATCCTTGGCTTGCATCCCGCGGAAAACCCGCTTTGCCATCCAGCAGGCCAAATGACTGGAGCGCATAAAGCCGATGACAAGAAGCAAAGTATTGCATAGCCGGGACGAGCTGCCAAGTACATGTAGGATGATGTGCCCAGCCCGCGTAATCACATCGTCCTTCTTGGACACAGCATGGAGGAAGCTGCCCTTAACAGTCATCTCGAAGCTGAGAGGAGAAGTGCCGAGGAGCGCCAGCGGGTTTTCCACAGTCAAGGGTGTTGGTCGCGAGGGGAAGCGTCGGAGCAGGCAAACTTCAGCCAGGACAATAATCAAGAATGGAAAAGCCGAGTGGTGAGCTAGCTCCGTAGGGGCCAGAGCTTGCATCACTGGCAGAACATCAGCAAAAGTGCCCTGATACAGCGCCTTTGCAGATTGAACGGCTGCCTTCAGCCGGGTGGGCGCAGCCTCTTCGCCGCTTAAGGACTGCAAGTCCTTAAAGCGCTCTGCCAAGGACGTGGCTTCGCGCGGCATGCGACAACAAAGCAAACAGGAGGCCCCTGGGGCGCTCCGTGCTTGAGCTGCAACTCGCCCACACTCCACACTCAAACCGTTGAGCACAAAGGCCAAAAGCCCCTAAAACTACGTGAGCAGCCCCCCCACCGACACAACATGATTTTGCTGACCTCAAAACTCCTTGCTCGGTATTACAACCTCAGCCAAAACCCTGACTCCCCCTGTGAATGCCTCAGGAGAAACGCTCTTCAAGATGTGCACTGAACGGCCAATCAGCCCAGGAGCGCGCGCGCCCAAGGCATGAGCCAGTCTGCAGCAAGCCCGCCCGTAGCGCCCAGCACCATCTGCATCGAATCCTGACGTAGGACAACCCTACGTCTGGTTTGCGCTCTACAGCAAAGCAACAGGAGGCCTTGCGGCGCTCCCAGCTGCACCTCGCCCACGCTCCACACTCAGAACGTCGAACACAGAGGCCATAAGCCCCTAAAGTTACGTGAGCAACCCCCACCGACACAACACTGCCTTCAAGACTCCTCGCTCGGTATTACAACCTCAGCCAAAAACCCGACTTTCCCCATGAATGCCAAAGCAAAGATGCTCTGCAAGGTGCCCTGAACGGCCAATCAGCCCTGGAGTACGCCCAAGGCATGAACCAGTCTGCAGCAAGCCCGCCCGTAGCGCCCAGCTCCACCTGCATCAAATCCTGACGTAGGACAACCCTACGTCTGGCTTGCACTCTACAGCAAAGCAAACAGGAGGCCCCTGGGGCGCTCCGGGCTGCAGCTCACCCACGCTCCACACTCAGAACATCGAACACAGAGGCCATAAGCCCCTAAAATTACGTGAGCAGCCCCCCGCCGACACAATCTGATTTTTCTGACTTCAAAACTCATTTTGCCACCGGCGGACCGGCGCAGCTGCAGTGGCTGAAAGCTGCTGGCGAGGTATCAAACACCTCACGACAGCCAAACAGAACGGACTGGAAAATAAAAAATATCCGAAACTGGAAGCAGGAAACGAATCTCTCCCAAAATGGTGGAGCCCTTTTTGGTTGGTTTCAAGTTGAAACCAAATGGAAAACAACCTCCCCAAAGGCTGCCCTATTTTGAGAGACAAACCCAAATATGGTACCCAAATCAGGGAAAGCAGAAGGTCAAATGTTCAACTGGGCAACTGAGACTCCAATCCCAGTGAACAGCAGACACCCAGCGTAGGTCCACCTTGGCGTCCGCTAGCGCCTGGCAAAATGCAAAACTCACGCGCGTGTTCTGAGAACCCAGGACCACCCAACTTAATTGCTGTGTTAGATGTGAAACTCATGAAATGCCTGGCCTTTTTGGGGGCACTGTGGTGGTGCTGAATTAAATTATTAGAGCTGAGTTTTGTGATGATTGTAGCTGGTTGACATTATTTATGACTTATTCATGATGATACGTGTTTGAAGTATATCAACTATTTGATTTCTAGATATATATGAACTACCATTTGTTCAACAACCACGGTTTCATGGACGGGCAAAGGGGACGCTGAACAGATGGTATTGATGACCCAGCCAAGGC